TTCGCTTGAAATGTAAATTTTTATTTGCCGGGTCGATGATCCAATGTAAATTAAACGCCCCAATATTTCTAAATCGAGCTAATGAATAAACGGTTCACCGAGTCACGAAATCCGCGTCTAATAATATATACGGCACAGCCGGCTGGGCCATTTCTTTCTCTCTCCCAGCGCTTTATACAGCAGTTTATCGATATTAATAAAGAACTCGCGCTATACTTTCTATTTTCAGCGTTGCATAAAACTGGCGAGTTCGAAAAATGTTCAAACTCACACAGCGCGAAGATTGTTGCTGCTGCTTCTTCAACTATTCCGAAATTTCGTAGTACATGTATGATCGAAATTGCCTGGGCATTGACTTTTAACCCGATCCAATGTATATGGAAGTTGCGCTGCGCCTCGTCTGTCTCGAGGAGAGAGAAAGTTTCGAGTGTGAATAACCTTTTAACCCGGAGCATCGTCGTCGTCGTAGTAGTCGTAGTCGTTAGTCTGCGGTTCAACGGTGCAGTTTCATCGCCTCGTGTATGCATACGTTTTGTGCGCGCCTCATTGTGTGTGTTGCACACACGCAACTACTCGAGTTACGCAATTTCAACGCTACACGCTGCTTTTCATTCGTATATGTATGCGAGGCTTGTGTTCGCACCCCGTGCACATGCATAAATACAGCGTGCCCCGCTGCTGTAGCGAGAAAAATATCATGCAGAAAGGGGGATAATAAGCCTGGAAGACATTACGTGTCAAATCGTGCACGGAAGATTCGAGATAAAGAGAGGAAAATACAGCGTAACGATCTCTGCGCGCGCGCAAGAAAGAGGCAAAAAACCAAAAGTTACTCTGTATAAGGAAAGAAGAAGAAGAAAAAAAGATTCGTACACAGAGGGACTTTCTCCTCCGCCTCGTGTAGTGTGCATCCGTTCGTCAATTATACACATACACGCTACACCGGTAAACAATATTCCACTCGGCTTCTGCACACGATCTTCGTATTACCGTATTTTTTTTTGCTTCTTCCTTTTTCTGTAATTCCACACTTTATACCGAATACGTGTGTGCATTTATATACAGTGTAATAAAAGCAGCGAGACGATGAGGGGGAGGAAGAGGGAGCGTAAGAGGGAAAGGCGAGGCCCTTTCACTTCTCACTTTGAAACTGCATAGAAAAAGTTGCAACAGCGCATTGGAGTTTTTAGGATTCAGCCCATCAAACCGACGACCCAAACACACACACACGCGAACGCCTGGCAATCTCGCCGGCTTAATAAGGCAAAACGCTCGGAGAAGAATAATTCAATTTGCTTTACGTTTTAACGTATTCTCCAGCGTTTTGCCGGACTGGCGTAATCGGAGGCTACCGCAAAAGTGGCGAAGTTTTTCGAGGTTATTTCGGTAAAAAGCTCGGCACTCAAATTTTTTGATTGCCTGAATTAAAAATAGGGTGCGGATTAAAGTCGCGCCTGCTTAATCCTTTATCGCATTCATCATTTCATTTTCGTTCATAATTCCTTACTTAATTTATGGTAAATTTATAGCGCGAAACTTACAAATGATATATACGAACGAGATGAATACATTATGGAAATTTCGTTTGTTTTATCTCTGACACGATATCTCTCTACCTCGACTCGTGAGCTTTTTGATCAAACTCCGCGAAAGCACAAGTAGCGAGTAGGTAGTAGTATGCCGCGTGGCACTTTGCATACGTCACATGCTGGCGCGGCTTTATATAGGCTTTTAACAAACGAAAATGTCTCTCCCTTTTCGTCAAGTATAACAAAATTTCGCGTGTGCGGCTTTCTAATCGTGTGGGCACACGTGGAAAACTAATGACACCCGACGACGACTATCTCCCTTTCTCCGTGACCCACATTTTCCACGCGCGCGTGTACGACCGGCAACTTTAATGCGTGCTGAAAATGTCACTATCCTGGGGAGACAGGGGATGAGACAGAGAGAGAAAAGTTTTTTCAAGCCGAGCGCGTGCATATGCGCATGTGTGTGTGTGTGTGTGTGTGTNTGTGTGTGTGTGTGTGTGTGTGTGTGTGTGTGTGTGTGTGTGTGTGTGTGTGTGTGTGTGTGTGTGTGTGTGTGTGTGTGTGTGTGTGTGTGTGTGTGTGTGTGTGTGTGTGTGTGTGTGTGTGTGTGTGTGTGTGTGTGTGTGTGTGTGTGTGTGTGTGTGTGTGTGTGTGTGTGTGTGTGTGTGTGTGTGTGTGTGTGTGTGTGTGTGTGTGTGTGTGTGTGTGTGTGTGTGTGTGTTTATGACGCAGGTGTTAATGTTTCGCCCATGAGCGCGAGGCGAGTTCGCGAGAACGTAAAAGTTTCGAGACGTATTAATCGATCATGCGATGAGAGTTGAAAAGTTTAAAAATTGTTTGGAATATCTAAGGTAGTCAGACCAATCAATGACCGGGTACCAGTGAATGACCATTTTGGAAAATATCATATGAAAAATAATCAAAAATATATTTACATGGATGTAATTCAATTATTCAGTGAACGATGCATCTTGTTTTCTATGTTCAATCATAATTTAACAAGGAAAAACGATAATTATTGCACATCCAAAAGCGGTCATTTATTGATCGAAAGTGGTCAACCACTGGTATAAGTACCCTATAATACAATTTTTTTCCTGATTTTTTTCCTAAACACATTGATGATGAAATTTCCTCGATTAAATGTACAAAGATTCCGAATGGAAAATTTTTTCAATTTAAAACTTTTCCATAAATGGAGTTTATACATTTCCTAGTAATTATCCGATGAAAATTGATTCAAACGAAGGCCAAAAAAAAAAACACCCACGTATAGCGCCCCGCTATGTACTGTATCAAACGAGAGGGAATGGTAAAAAAAGAAAGGAGGTAAGTTTAATCAAACTGAGAGCAAAACGAATGTGCGGAGCTTTTCTTGGCAGCGCGAGCCACCGCCGCCGCCTGCTCGATCGATTACATGTCAATATGCAAATGAAGCGCCAAACTGTGTACACTTATTCAAGGCAAACTGAGAAAAAAAACGAAATTCACCAGCAAGAAAATCTCGAGGGTTTCGTTCAATTTTTTCCCTTCCTTCCTTCTCGTTATTTTTTTTAAATTGTGCGTTTGATGTATAATTTGTGTGTATGCTTCAACTCGTGCAAAGCTGCTACGTTATTAGAACAATTTTTACCAATTGACTTTTAAGCAACCATCAAACAGCAGCAGCGGCAGGAGCGAAGCTTATAACTCACAATCATGGAGGAGGGTACACATAGCCAGACGTCGCTGCTGCTGCTGCTGCTCCCGATGCACGTGTGGGATAAGATCAAACGAGTTTCACGCCCTCGACGATACATTATGAGGCACGGACCAAAACGATCTAGTTCCGGGGGATTCGCGCGCGCGATGCGTGTTGCGCGTATATTACCCACTACTGGATATGTACAGTGAAATACAACGCGAGCAGCGAGCGAAGCGCAAATGGGAAGGCCCCAAAAAAAAATTTTAGCTCGAACAATGGAGGAATAAGATGAGTTATTCCGCGACGCAAGAGTCCACCCACTATTATACGACCACCGGCGAGAATTGCACTGCTGCTGCTGTTCGATTCGCGCGTTATTGCCGTGTTTTCTGTTTACGCATTTTTTAATCTACAAAATCAGCCAATTTATCTGTCGTGTTTGTGTTTTATTGTGAGAATGGTTTGGAGAAAATATGCAAAGCATCGCGCAGTGCATTTGATGGGGGGCTAGGTTTTAATAGATAACAATGTGCATTGAAATAATTCAGGTGATAGAAAATGTGTACAGAAATGAATGGTTGCGGTAAACAGTGTAAGCAAAAATTTATTGGAAACGGTGATTTATGTATTCACACTTTTGGTCACTGAACCTCGTGGTTCAGTTTAATTCAATTAGTTGAATTTTGTAAGTTTTTTTGGTAAAACTCAAAGTTAAATGGCCAGAACAGCTAAAAAAGCTACAGCACACGCCACCTAATGCCGTTACCTCGAAACGCTGATAGCGCTACCTAGTCGGTAATGAAAATTACACGACTACCGATCGGCTTATCAGTAGATATCAATTGTTATGCAAAAGATTAGTGAACGGTTATTATCTAATTTTATATAATTAGATTGATAAATATTAAGTGATACTTCAATTATTTAAAAAATATCACATTCTTTGGTTACAATAACATTATGTCACACTTTTCAATAGTATTATACAGCATTTTAGTAGTTTAAATTTTTGAAGTAATAAATCATGTAATATTAAATAACAAAGTATACAAGATATCGGATTTAAAATTGTACAAGATTTTTCTTTATTATTATTTCTATTGATTTGATTTTACGTTTTAAATAACATATTTTTAATACTAATACTGTCAAACGAACATCAATCTTTATTTCTTTAACTTTTGTCTTTCACTTTTATCCGTGATTAACTGATGTATAGTTGTAAGTTTTTCAATAATCATCCCGATGGAAAGACACACATCATCAATAAGTTGCCAAGTGATAAGCATCAAGTGCAAAGTATCAAGTTACAGAAATAAGGAATGACGGTGGTATGACGGTATTAAAATCAAAAATATTCTTCATTATTTATATAAGGATTCACTTAGATGAATGAATTTTCACTTACATGAATGAATTTTTATTTTTTATAATATTAATTTCACGAGCAAATAAAGAAGATTGATTCGAAAATTTCATCTAGGATTGATTTTTCTTCTAAAATCATTATTCTCTAAAATATAATTTAAGTGAAAATTTTGGAGAATTATTTTATAGAAGTGACAACAAAATATTTCATCATTAAAAGTAAACTAAAATATGAAAAAGTATCAAAAAAAGCTAGTATAACTTTTCTGATGGCTTTTAGTTATTCAATTAATTCAAAATGAACATGACAGAGATATATAAAAATTATATTTGTCAATTGAAAACAAGAGTAAAATACAACTGTGACACTGATTTTATCATTTTATATTCTACTATAATTTTAATAAAATACATACCTGATAAGTTGTCCAACATGTATGACAGCAGTTTGTGCGTTCCCTGTGGTTCTCCATAGATGGCCATTACATCCTTACTAAGTGGATTCCCGTGAAGTCCAAGTATTTGTAGCTGGAATAATTTCCCTAATTCATAAGGTAAAACTCGCAGAAAATTCTGATTCAGCAACAGCTCTCTGTTATAAGAAAATAAATTGATCAATAAAATTTAAAAACATGTTTTAGCACATATGTGCAGAGGCAAGCAAGTACAAAAGAATTTTATGTATAAATGAAGTTTATTTACTTGAGATAGATGAGTTCTCCTAATTCTGCAGGTAAACTACGCAACTTGTTGCTACTGAGATCAAGAACTCTCAAATTGACCAAACGGCCAATCTCTGCAGGTATTCTTTGTAAACTATTATCATTAAGATACAATGCAGTAAGATGGGTCAACGTCCACAAATGAGGGCTCAGATTTCTAACGCTGCCTGTTATCTCTATTTCTGGCCAAAAAGATTTCTTTCCAGTGGCGGCTTCCTCTGGAGTCATGATAGTGTGCGTACGACGTGGGTTACTGCTTTCATACTTGTCCTTGTGATTTCGGGACATCTTGAATCCTGTAAAATCATCAATAGTTAATGTTTTGACTTCAAGGACTCTTTAAAAGATATTCAAGAATAAAAACAAAACAAAACTCAAAGTTGAATCATGTTATTTAAAAGGTAACACTTCATGAATCATTTACTAACAAGATGAATGAGTTTTGTTTCAAATAACAAATGCGTTTAGATCAGTACACCACGACTAACCTATTTTGATCAAGAATGAAGGTTTGGAATAACTGGAAAGTATCTTGGTAAATGGATGAGGATTTAATGTCAGGTATGCAGTCTCGAATCTATTGAGGTACTGAATAAGCATGAATAAAGCGTAAAAAGCCATTTTAGGTAATATGTCAATTGACAAATCGACATATCACTAAGATATCCAAAACAACTAGTCCTCATGGGCTTTGCTTTATGTTTAATGAAAGTCTAGATGAAGGAAAAAATGGAAAAGAGTAAGTTAAGGAATGAATTAATAATTGGATGTAAAAAAACTAAAATAAGTTTATGATAAACTTGAGGAAACTTAATACTAACTTAATGAAGCACACAGTTCAATGAACCCTTTTGCCCTTGTCAACAAATCAATGCTACTCAACTAGCAGCACAAAACTGACACAAATCATTAATTTGTCAATGTTTTGATATAAGATGAGTCATTAAAAACCAAGTGCAAAGAGGGATCATTGGAGCAACACTGCATTCAACGAATTTTGAAGCTTCTGCAGAGAAAGGAAAAGTCGAGAAGCGAACGAGCAGAGTCTTGCGTTAAAGTGTCGGATATAATTGGCAAGCCTTAACCTCGTATTTTGCTAACTCTGCTCCTTTTTGTTGCACTCGAGTTATCCTGGCTCTCCGAATCTTCTGCATTTATACGATGCAACGAATTCGGAAACATCACCACCTTGCAAAACACAACAACAAACCTCTCTCTCTCTCTCTTTCTCTCTCACAAACACTCGTTCGTTGTCTTTCGATCTCGCATTTAATGCATTATATGTATACGAGACATCAGTCACTCACGCAGTCTCTCGCTCTCTTAAAATTGCTTTGATGTTTATTTCAACGCGACGACACGTACCTTGTGTTTTCATTATTTATTTTTTTCACTCGTTGAGCTTTGCTTGTTGATTTGTTATTTTTGGTTGAAATTTTTACGATTTTTTTTCTCTTTAATTTTTTATTAAGAACGATTATAAAACGTTACGAGGCAACTATCAAGTTGTGCACACAAACTCGCGAAGGTGTACCAGCAATAGATGATGTTGATAGTGGTCTAGACGAGAGCATACCTTCATCTACACACGTCTAGAGCAAGAGCTTGGCTTTACTACTCTGTTGCTCGCCTATGTGCACACTTTTAGGGGTATTATATGTAAGAACAGATCTATATAGGTATACTCGCTTTCTCGACACAACACACACTCGCACAATCTCCTTCTCTCTCTCGCGCGCACTGAGAGCAATAAACGTGATGACTCCTGGTGGTGCTACTGCTACACGAGTCGTATTATTATTCTCTTGGTGTTAATATTAATGATAAAAATTTCGCGTCCGCTTGTTGTTGACGGCCTGATGTTGGCAGCAAACGTAATATATGTGTTATATATTAATCGACTGCTGCGCGTGCGATATTATACAAAGATGCAGAGAGTCACTCGGAGCGCGCGATATCGATAACAAATCTTTGTCCCGCGTAACTTTGCTATATATACACGTACCAAAGCTTCAATCATATACAGATATATATATTTGGAGCCGAGACGACGCACACGTATGCACGTTAGTAGAAACGATTGTATATCTAATACGAAACTGGCTGCGGCTATGTACACACAACTTCGAGACGAGCAGTTTGACGAGTCAGAGTCTCTCAAAAAGCGGTGCTGCCTGTCGGATACCGAACGCTATACTACAATACCCGTGGTGCGGACTGCTAAATGCGCTGCCTGCTATACACATGCACACACATACATCTATCTTAATGTACACGCATACATGCACATACACACGCAGCAGTAGTGCCGCGCGCGAGACGACGACGATGACGATGATACTATGGTCACACACACTACAGTGTATCGTCGTCGTTTTGCACGTTATGCAGGGGCTGCTATATAGGAGTCTGTATGTGCGTGTACATCATTATCGTATACGTGCATTGGCCGAACTGCAGGCTGGTATAATGGTACACAACACACGGCATCGGTGTGAATATATATAGATATTATCGCAGCAGTATCCGCGCGAAACTTCGGCGCTTCGCGTTTGTGTGTTGTACAACGTCGAGCGGACAGAGTGCGCGCTTAGCAGCACAGCAGCAGCAGCAGCCTGCGACAGACAGCGCAGCTTCGCCGCGCACAAACCGCGCGGATCATGGACTCGCGAGTACTCGCATGCATCGCATTGCTGCTGTACTGCTATATAATACCGAGTGTTATTCGTGCAATGATATGCCGTGGTGTCGAACTCCGAAGTCGCGGCACTTTTCCGCTCTCGTCGGCATCGCGTGTGTGTACAGCAACTTGTTACACTTTTTTCCTCGTATATGCTGCTGCCTTTGCCGTCTTATCGCTTAAATATTTTGAGAACTTGTTTGCGCGATCGTGTCTCGCAATGCAAATATTCACAGTTTTCGCGTGTGTGTTTGCAATACGATTCTTTTGTTTTTTCCGTCTGATTATGGGTGTTCATTTGAATATAATTTACAAATGTGATGTGCGTGTGTATATATCGAGCGTGCATATACAAAGCACAAAGCCGCCCGCTTTTTCGTAGCTGTCGAGCGCGCGCGCGCGCGCATCGTAACGAACGAATCTCGCGGCGCAAAAGAAAAACACAACAAATATCTGTCTCTCGTATACGCACACAATTATTTTACTTGTTTACGCTGAAGAGAGCGCAGAGAGCTTTTTATTAGCATTCGCACGTAAATGACTGCGGAATTCCTTGCATAATATATTTGCCGCGATATCGCGAGATAAAATTAGAATATGAGTCAATGCAGATGCAGATCGCTGCGGCTGCTGCGACGACGACGACGACGACGACGACGATGATCCGTTCGCGATGAATCAATCGCGCCGCGAAATCAGGATGATCCCTTTCTCTCTCTGCTCCTTTTTTCCTCTCTGCTGAGTCTGATGTATAGGTATTACAAAAGAAAACATCAGAAAATGTATACACAGTGCACGGCGCAGCACACGCATACACCGCGAAGCTGATGCTCGCGGCTGATCGCGTATACATATACGCACAGACCCACTCACGCAATATACTACATATGCACCATGCAACGCACGCATACATCCACAGGAGAGCTGCTGTGTGGAGAGTAGTAGGGATCTCTCTCGCTACTCCGTTTTTACCTCTTATACTGTTATTGTGTCTATATATAGTATTTGTGTATATATATTGAACACACGTACTCTTGGCCATGTATACTGCACTTAATGTGTAATGCGACTTTTAGACTTGCTCGATGCACACTGCCTTCCCAATGGTCGTCCACGATAATAATACTTGTACGTTGTTGTGACGGGCTTGATTCACCATATCACTGACGACGATACGATGTTGTTGCGGCTTCTCACAGCATGTGCCGACGATCTCAACGGGAGGACGACATTTTTACAAACTTTGTTCAGCGGGTTTTATTATTTAAGAATCTGTAACGAAAGCGATAGTTTACTTGGGAAATGTTCAACGCAGGATTTTGACTACTGTTATGGTGTTGGCAATGCAACTGCGTCGACCGACGGCCACGAGAACCTCCAAGACCTTTGCCCGTGCGTCAATGTGTGTGCATGAACACATTTATTATACATATATACGGCCTTTTACTGTGCACTTCGCGGGGCTATGTATGTAGTACCGTGCATACGAGCGCGCGTCGTCTCTTTCTTTCTCTCTCTGCAGTGCACACAGTGTGCAGCACAGCACCATGATGTACTATATTTTTGTCGGGATTGGCTTAGCCGGTCGAGGGTTACTTACTCAACTCTGCATGCCCGCGGTGCACAGTATTCACATATCAAATGCGAATCGCACTTTATAATGCGAATAATGCATGATGCGGCTTGAATAATAAATACGCAAAACTTTTGAAGAGCTTAGAACGCGACCGAGGACGCGCTGGAATAACGACGAGTTTATTTAAAACTGCCTCGGCTTTCGAATGAGTATAAGCTCCGAAGTGCGATAAGCGCCCGTTGATAAAGTATCGACGCGTCGCTGAGCACCTTGAAAGGCTTTTGAAGTTGTATGAAGTAGATCAATACTTCAATGGGGATTGGAAGGATACCCGATCGATACGAAGTAAAAAACTGATATAAGAGGTTAATATGTAATTGGATTTCGAACGGATAAATTATCTACTCGATTCAACGGTATACTTACGGAGTTTGGTAAAGATAATTAGCCTCATGAGAGAAAATTTATTCATGAGGAGTTGAAAAATGACACCGAGGAAGATTCTGAATAACTGCGTTGATTTTCACTTCTCTATCAATGCGGTTCCGATCGTTATAATTACCGTTGCAAATTTGAATTGTTTCAATTCGTTCGAATGTCCTAACAAGTCATGGCCGTTCCATCTGATTGTATAAATGACCCTCTCGCTATAATTTTGTTAATTGCAACTGTTTCGAATTAATAACGTTAAACACGTTCCAAATACTTTTAACAATTTTACTTTAATTACTTTATCTATTTGAAGAAAAGTAAAACTGCAACTGTAAAGCGCCACTTTGGCGATGCGGCACTGCTGCCAACTTCGAAGCCAGAAAGCAGATTACAAAATAAGCCGACTGAATGATGGCTGCTGCAGGAGGTGAGTCTTATAATTTTTAATGAAAATTGAATTAATAATAGCGTGACAAGGATTGATATGTACAAAATTTTAATTTTAATTATCATCACCATTCGACAAAAAGTAGCATAAATGGTGGGCAGTCTGATTTGCCGTTCCTTCAGTCTATTTACCTTGTTTAACCTATTCACTTTTGATTCATAACACATACTATTTTGAAATGTTTTCATGTGATCTAATACACTCCTGATTGAAAAATGATTATTAGTAAATGAAGCAAACTCAATGTTTGATGTTTGATCAATGACTGGGTTGATTATAGAAAATTTTATTTGCAGGAATCATTCTTAGCAGCTTAAGTGCCTTTCATAGATTTGGCACCTCAGTTGGAATCTTTCCTGGTGTATTGTCACAAGTGAGGCATTATGCTGCTCGAAAAGGTACCAGAGAAAAGGCAAAGAAGAAGAAAGTTAAGAAAGAAGTAAAGAAATTAACAATACAAGACAAAATTAGATTGTCCAGAAAAGTGTAAGTTGGAATAGTATTAGTAATAACATTTTAAGCTCTTGAGATTATTTGAAAAATTTAAACAGAAACTTTATTTATTAAAAATATGTAATTTACAGTAAAATTGTCAAACCAGATATACTGAAATATGATTATATCAAAAAACCTGTTGCCATAGATGATGTTTGGCTTGGAAAGGACTTCAAGTGGAAAATATATCCTTTTGCTGAAGCAATCCAATGTCACAGAGAAATGCTCCATCCCACAATGTACGATATGCCAGATACATTAGTCAACATATTTGTTGAACTTAATTTTCGAGTAAATATTTTATTTCAAAAGTCATTTATTCAGTATATTATATAGTGATGTACATATATTTATTTTTATTTTTAGGGAATAAAAAACAAAACTTTAGATGCTTTTCATAAAATGGTTACCATGAAACACTTGTTTGATCATGGAGAAGAAAGAAATATATTAGTTTTCTGTAAAGAAGATGAACAAATTAAAGCGGCTCTTGAAGGAGGTGCGGCTTTAGCTGGTGGGGCCGACATTATCAAATTAATACAGGTATTGCAATATATTTATAAAAAGTTTAAAATATCAAATAAAAGTATAAACTGTATTATAACTGTTTTTAAATTAATTACAGAATGGTGAAGTTTCATTAAATAATTATGATACTGTACTTTGTAATCCCGAGATGATGGCAGAAGTTTTGACACTGCGTGGATTGTTAAAAAAGAAGGTTCCAAATATAAAAAATGGTAAATAAGTTATACAATTTTTATATAACCAATAGAATGATATCCATGGAATTTTTTCTAAAATTTTTATAAATTTGATTTTTTCTAGGAACTTTGGGTCTGGATATAGCAGGTATGGTTTACCATCATGTGAATGGAATAAAATACTCTGCAAAACCATGTGAAAATTTTCCAGAGTACGGCACAACGTCCATACCAATTGGCAAAGTAATTCACTTGATAAATAAATCAAACAGTTGTAATTCTGTTCTTTGAATAAGCATAATGAATTTTCGAATGTATTTTCAGTTGAATATGAAGGCAGAACATTTAGAAGAAAACATGCAAGTTGCATTAAATCATCTCATGCAATCAAAGCCAAAAAGACCAGGTCCATTTGTATTGAGGTAAATATAATTACTAAAGAAAGTTTTCATGTTCAAAAACCTCAGGAGCAAAGTGTATAGCTTACCTTGTTTTAAAATTAAACATTTTACATTGTTGAAATATTTAAATTTAATTCGTTTTATTTTTAGATTACGTCTGGAAGCTAAGCCATCTAAAGAAAGTTTCAAACTTGATCACAAGTTGTACGTCAAGCAGGACGAAGAGGAGGCAACGGACGAAAAAGTCGGAGAAGAAAGCGATGAAGAAGATCAGCATGAAGAAGCTGTTGCTAATTAAAAGTGTAAATAGTACTATTAATTTATATGTTGTAGAAAGAAAGCTTTCATCGAATCATTGTTTACGAATACTTGTATCGTATTGAAAAGAATAAAATTTGTTATGTTTTTGTTAAAATTACGACGAGTATTAAAAAGAGAGTTGTTTTAACATAAAAATCCAAAGCCGTTATTTTATATGTACTTGAAGGAATGTTACATTCATATTCATTTTTCCATACCGATGCGCATCGAAAATTAAAAATATCACATTGAAAAAGGCGATCAATCGGTGCGAAACGCAACCGTCCGGTTCAACCGATCTTTGTAACGTCGAAATTCTATTCCTTGTTTTTTTTAAATTTTCGAACTCGCGTCCGATACACCAACGGCTGCGCGCCTGCAAACCGACCGGCGTCCATACACCGAAGAGAGCAACGGCTCCGATTTGCCGTTTGAAAATCGAGCATCCACACACCAACAAACACACACACTGTACACAACTCCTCGTATACACGTTCGTATATATACGAGGATACACATAAGATTCGAATCGCCAAGAAACAAGTGGGGGTGGGGGTAAGGAAGCGAACGTATACTCACAATCTCGCGGACTGCGGCGGATAAACCGGTGAGTTCGTTACCTGTGCCGGTCTCCCGCTAGCTCCAGTCGTCGGCGCGTTCGCCAGGTAATAACGTGCCCCCACGAAACGTGTATACGTGTAGCGCACGATTTTATACACATCGTACACAGCGTATATAGTACACGTTCGTTGCCGAGTTGTGTACAAGCGAGAGAGGCTTATAACGAAGAGAAAAACAGACGCGCGCGTGTGAGCTGCGTCCTTTTGTATTATACACACACACACACATACACACGATATATACATTTACACACACACGCTCACATACACGAGTGTACAATAAATATTTTAATGAAATTTACGTGATGAATTTCTCGAGTTGTTGGTGATTCCGAGTCAAGGACCGATACGCACGCCGTGGCCAAGAGAACAGCAGCGGCAGGTCTCGCTCGATCTTGCTCAAGTCTCTTGTGTATGCTTTTGCGAAAGCAGGTTAGATTCGCCTGGCAAAACGTAAAGGCACCTGTTGCGTGCATCGTAGTACATAATATACATAACGAAGCTCACACACTCTTTGATACACGAACATACACGAACACGCAGCACACGTTACATTGTGACACTCATCCAAATACACACTCAGTGCTTCGCGTAGTCTAAAATCCGGCCAACAGAAGTGTGTGAATTTACCAGTGATCGTCAATTGATTTTGTTGTTGTTGTTGTTGTTTGCAATCGTTGAATTATGACAAAACAAAATCGGTGCATTGAAATCGAATAAGTGTCCAATGTGTTTGTTGTGTGTGCGCGCGTGAATTTACGTACGTACAGCCGCACGTAGATACGATGATGATCCGTTATGTCAAACGATCGAGTTGACAAGTGACGTACGACACCGATACACAGATTTTCAAATACCATTGCCGAGCTCCCGCGCGAGGTTGGCTAGTAGAGAGAATGTCCATGCGGCAATAGTGTTTCTGTTTCGTTTTTTTTTTCTCCTCGATCGCTGCTCTTTTTTCATATACATGGTGTCGAGAGGAAGCGACTCGAGGAAGAGGGCCGCACTCGTGAAAGATTAGATTAGCGAGCCGAAAGAAAAACGAAAAAGAAAATTAAAAAGTGAATAAGAAAAAAATCGGAGCAATAAGCAAAAAGGAGAAAGGAAAATAAGAGAAAAAAAAGAAAGGGGAGCAATCGGAGGGACCCAACGATCATCAGAGCTGCATACGTGTGTCTCTCTCACAATGGTAAGTAAAGCCTCTTTGGGAGTGCAGAAACGATATTTGCACAGGCCCAAGACCACAGGCTGTGCGTCTTTTTTTTCTCTCTCCTCCTTACACCATCGCCCTGTGTGTGCATATATGCGCACTGTCGCAGCAGCAGCAGCAGCAGTAGTGCAGTTCTCCGATCATCTACCTCTTTTTCTTCTTCTTTCGCTGCTGCTGCTGCCGCTGCGTCTTCGTAAGTCGTTTTTTGCGATCATCGCTGCGCACAGGTATATACCACCCAGTGGGGGAGGGGTAATTTTCGGTTGCAGCGTGCGCGCGTGCGTGCCCTATATAATATCTGCAAGGGGGCACACACGTCGTTCGAATTTGCAGGTTTATAAATAACGGATTTCTGACGCGATCGGCTCCTCGTCCTGCGCCATACAGGAGGACAGTTTGATTTTCCCCTCTCGATGCATATACGCGTCGCGTGAAAAATGACTCTTGTGGCTGTTTCCTCCCGCGCGTGCGACTCGGCTTGCATAAATTTCTCACATGGAACTCGTTGTCGTCGTCGCAGGAAGTCGTATCGATCGAAGAACTAGTCAACCGTAATAAGTACGCACGCACACGATTTGTTTGTAAATCTAGTGGCTGTGTGTTGTACAAATACTATAATTGTTATGCACTTTTATTGTCTACTCGTTGCACCGGTGTAGTACATTTGTAGGTGTTTTTCGTCGATTTTCCGAGACTTTACGCCCAGAAACGTGACGAATCTTACATTGACGTTCGAGAAACGATGCGCGAGTCTGCATACGTTTATAAGCAGTGCAGATTAGTCTAGCATTGAAATCACTCGCAGCGTAAACGATTCCACGAGCACGCCATATTATTATACATATATTACACGAATGATTCACACTTGTTTCCGATGCGAGCTCGAGTTCTAAAATAATCGATCTAATTGCTAAGCTTTTCCGAGGATTTGCATCGGAAACGAAAACTCAATCCTCGCTGCAATTCACCTTGATGTTGTTGCAGGCCTGCGCCGACGAACTCGACCTTTTTGTTATACGAGCCTCTCGATTATGCGAGCGGATACGTATATATGAAAAAAAAGAGTGAAAAATAAGCTCGCGCGGAGGTCAAAACTTTCGTAAACACGAGACTATGAAATAAAAAAAAAGAAGAAAAAAAAGAAGAAATTGGTAAGCAAAAAAAAGCTAGTCAGGCCAGAGGCATGTCCCCGTGACAGCACGTGCATGCATAAACACACGCGTCGATGATTATTATGATAATGAATTGTTGCTCTCCAAACGCTCGCGTTTATATTATTATATATTGTATAAAAAGCAGCGACGACGAGCTACAACATATATCTCTGTATGTTAAATAGTGTTTACACTCAGCCGCGCCTTGGGAAGAGAATACAAGTCAGCCTTTGCGCTTAGCTGTTGTAAAATAATTCCTGCGCTGCTGCTGCGCTCGCAGACTTTTGTTACGCTTTCGAGGAGCCGTGCACTGCAGCGCGTGGAAAGAAGAGATGTGCAGCGTTTCGTTAAACGTTGGCCATTAAAGATGTGTTCGCATCTTTCGCTCGCGCTGCATTAAATACATTTACGCGCGTGCAATAAAAATACAAAACTCCCGCAGGAACGAGAGATGGATACATTAATTTTTTTTGCATCTTCTCCTGAACACTTTCCAATTGGCCAACGTGTAAATCTCGCCCACTGTTCATTGTACGTAGAAAATTCGATTGCAGGTGCTTCTCAGGCTCGTAAATTTAAAAAATCGAAATTGATCTCGACTCCAATACCATTTGTGAGAATAGTCATATGAATCATTTACAATTGACGTATGCAACGTCTTGCGATGCGTGCGTAATACACTTTCACGTACACACATGCATTTACAAAAATTACCTTGTATATTGTAACACAGATGACGACGACACATGTGCAGTCGCGAAGGTGAGACGGAGACGCGACGGTGTAACACACGCCACAAAAGTATTTATCCGCGTGGTACGTGTACGCAGATACGCATTCTAGGTGCAGAGAAAAGTTTCGCGGGCTTTTTTCGACCGCACCTATAATATAAAGCGTATTCTCTTATGCCATACGCAATTGCCCGCGAGCTGAGCGCAGTCTATCTATTATATACATATGCGACGAACGAAAGAAAAGGGAAGAGTGCGAATTGCGCATTGGTATATATCGGAATCTCTTTTACGCACACGGCTCCTCGCGTACGTCGTATATTATTCCCGTTTCTCTATGTAACGTTAGCTACATAGGTGTGTGCCGGTTACGCACATCGTGAACATATGCAGCAGCAGCTATATACAAGCGTTAAGAAGCTCGAGAAGAAATGTTCAAGTGTCGCTGCTATAAGCCGTGCCGATAATGTTCAATGAGAGCGAGAAAAGCTTTTAGCGATTATTAAACAACGGCTTGTATACATTATATCCTCCGGCTTTACTTGCTGTGACAGCTGCTGCTGCTGCTGCTGCATCGACTGAACTGCTGACCTGCCGAGTCAAGAGACTGTTAGGCGCGAATATATTGACACACTACCTGCGCCTGGTATGCGTGTGTGTGTGTATGTGTGCGAAAATCCAACACTTTCTTTTCTCAAACGACTTCATCGCTGTGTGTATGGATTTCGTATTAGCGCAAAATACCTTCTACGCTTCAAAGTCCATAAAGCATCGATTGAGATAAGCCTCGGATACAAACCGGCCCCGTATAATATTATACACGCGTGTATGGTAGTACGACACACTTGCGCGCACAATCGAGTCATGATCGGTAATTTTTTTCAACAGCGCCACCTTATACAGACGCTTGTTTTTCTCTCTCTCTCTCTCTCTCTCATTTTTCGACGTTGATATTTCAAAATCGTGAGAGAAATCACGCGCGAAACGTGCATGAATAATTTAACGCTGCCAGCAGCAACAGCTGTGATTTTTGTGTCGCGCGAGCGCGCGATATTAAAGCGCAAAGTGCAAGGCAGCGCGCGTGGGTGTATCATATGGGTGTACTCGCTTCCGAGCGCCTATATAATACGTGGCATTAATCTTTGGCTTAATTTTCTCTCTCTTTTGCGTGAACGCACGCTGCAGCAAGTGCGCGCTGCTTGTCCGTGCATACATACGCACACTCTGGCTTTTTTGTTTTAAAATAATATCGTATAATTCCGCGCGTTTTCCCATTAAACCAGCTAATTTTCGTCTTTTTTTGATCGCCGCGCGCTCGATCCGCGACGCATGTTTAATTAAGAGAAAAGGCCACTGGCTACCGTTCGCTCGTTCGTTTATTATACACACTGGTATCGTTTACATACATTCAAATATACATACTCGACTTCCGATTGCTCGTAAATAATTATTAGCTCTCGTCGTTTTTTTTCCTTTCTTTCTTTCTTTTTTTTGCTTACTTGTTTGTGCTTCTGATATACGCGCTCAAATCGAATTTCACACTTGATAAGTTGTCAAAGTCTCTCTCTCTCTCTCTCCTTTTTCCATTCCGGACAATCGTATACGTATACCAGTACAAGTGTATACGCAAATATATACGGCGCGCGTAACTCTACTAACGAATAAATAAGCGACGCCATACATACGCACACATAAAGCAACGGCTCTGCTCGCGCTATTTTGCATATACAGACAGATTTTAATTAACGAACGCGTATGCGCCACTGCGTACACATATATAGCTTCGATACGTATAAATCAAGCGCAGAGCTATAGCTCGATGTCTTTCGCGATTTATCGCCCAGCGCAAAAGTGCAAGTGCACGAGAGCCGGTGTGGTATATGTACGCGCCTCTCATCTCGTTTCTCTATATCTCAAGTGTGATTCTTTGCCTTTTCGCGCGTAACTAAACGGCTTCTAATTGTTTACTCTCACGGGCAAATCATATATTTATACTTAGAAAATGATACATGGTTTATTAGCGGGCATGCAAATGTCTCCCCGCATGATGCGTGCAGCTCGCACGCATTATCATGAGAAACTTGGCGAGGAGAAACTCCGCCGCGTACTACGCGGTATTACATCGTCCTCGTCTGCTAAACGAATTTACGGCGAGTAAGTACGCATAAGCTCTAGGATAATAACATAATGAAGGTCGCCAGTTTTGAAGATTACCAGCGCTAAATCATTTCGCTTTTGAAAAACTCTGTGCATACATGCATGCGTAAGATGGATTTCGCGTGCGCAGAGCAGCGTTACGGCGGCGCATCGAAATTATTTTTGCGCTAGAGTAAGATAGAGAGTGACTTTTCCATGGTTATGTACATACACGAACTGCGGCTATCAGTGCGAATAAAAAGTGTAAAATTGTTCACTTTCGCATGCATAGTGCATACGGGTATAATGCCATGCAAAATATGTCGCAAATCGCTCTCTCTCTCTCTCTCTCTCTTTCTCTCTCTCTCTCAGAGCGACGTCAATTTGGTAGAGCAAAATCCAGAGCGACATGCGTATAATGTACAGTAATCAGTATTTTAACTTTCATTGCCTCGTTAAGGAGTAAAAAGTTCGTTGAATAGATAAATTGGCTTTGCGTTCCCCGCCCCACAGTGTGCATGTGTGTGTCGAGCTCTCGCCGCGATTTGATTATAAAATCGTTGCGATATGGAAAACGATTTTTTTTACAAACCACACATCCACTGCGAGTTAATCGAAAAAAAGTGACTCCTGAAACAGCGCCGTGCGCGTAATTGAGTGGTAAAACTACTATATGTCTATCCATTGATTCGAAAAATTCGATTCGGTCACGTACACATAATAAACAAAAGTGCAGTGCATACATAGAAAACAAATCAATAATCAAGATACAGCGCGCGCCAATGGCTGCATATACGTGCATAAATAAAGGATATTACCTCGAGCGTGTGTATTGCTCTCTACTGCACGTCCTGTGTGTGTGTACACTTTATCGCGTTTCGATTTTGCGATCGACATGAAAAATAAATCAAAACACCTTACGGATGCATGCGAGCTTGCGCGTATAAGCTGCGTACGG